TCACAGATCCTTGAGAGATCTGAACACTGTCCGATCATCAGCGAGCTCCTCCGGCAGGCGAGGCTGCGTTGGCGGTTGTCTGTGCATTAAGAGGTGTTAACTATCCCACGCAGAGAAGTCTGCTTACAGGACATAAGAGGTTCTTCACATACCGTGCCCCGTGTCACCTGAATGTTAAATGGGGCTCCGGTAATTCAGTGTCCACCGCCGAATCATCTTTCACCATCACCACGCGTCCATTAAGGCCAATGTGACGAGGCCATAGATAGACGCCGCGTTATAACGGGGGGGGGGGGGGGGAGCAATAAAAACGTCGTACTACGTGACATCACAACACCCTGCACACAGCCATAGTGGCTGATTAGGGTGCGCATCATTTACGAATATGTGGTTTAAGTGGTTGAGAGTAGATTTTGATGTAAATTGATTTTAAATGCACGTAGCCTGCATTTAAAATTTCATGCGTGGGTGCATGAGCAGATATGAGTGGGTGAGTGCGTGAATAAGCCGGTAAGTGAGTATATGGGTGGATGGAGGGAGCTTGGCAGGCATGGCATGGGCTGGAGTGGAGGTGGACTGATGCGGTACGGGAGGATGTGGAGCTGAGTGGGCTTTGCCGACGACCGGTACCAGTGGTGTCGAGATCGGCCTCTGCGGGGAGGCTCGTGAAGGATGCTTCTACTTGGCAGTTGGCGACACTTGCCCTCCAACAACAACGGAGGAGTGACACTCACAACAACGAGCGGAACACTGGATGATAAATATGCAGCAATTTGGCACAGTACGGGGTACAGGTGGTGCTGCCAGTCATCTCAGTCAGCCAACCCATGGCACCTGGGTCTGTTCCAGGACCTCCGGTCAGCGAGCCTTCGACACTTCACGTGGCTTCAAAGTGCACCGGGCCTGGCACAGGCGCTGTGGTGACGTCACTGTCACTTATTGGCGAATGGTGACGGTTGATAATGCAGCGGTGATTGTGAGAGATGCCGTTTTGGGGGGGGGGGGGGGCGCCAACCCTGACCAGCTGTGAACCTCACGTCGCCCGCAGCCACCAGTGACCACAGGGAGTTCTGGATGGGTGCGAGGGGCTGGTAACCCCCCTCCACCTTCAACTAAATTAACACACATTCACGTGCGAGCCCTTGGGTCTCTCTGATGAGTCTATGGGTCTCTGTGGTGAGTCTATGGTTCTCTGTGCAAGTCTGAGGGTCTGTGCATAGTGAGTGTATAGGTCTATGTGTGATGACTCTATGGGTCTCTATGTGATGGATATCTGTGGTGCACATATCCTGGCACAAGCGCCGTGGTGTCGTCACCACCACTTAGTGGAAAAAGCTCCTCCCACTACTCCTGCTTGTTGTTGTGCTCGGGAAGGAGAGATAAAACTAGATCTCAACGATTTTCATTTCACCAGGTAAGGTCCACTGAGATAAACATCTCTTTTATTACGCGCTTTTATTTAATTCACTCTGTCTGTTGTTGTTGTTGTATCCTCAAATCTTGCAACTCAATTTTAACCCACTTCCCAATGTAATATCGACTGCAAACTTGGTATACTTATGTCAAACTGATGACAAAACTACATTCTACGAAACAAAGTATTTTTAAACATTCATTTTATATGTTATGTTTCGGCTTGGGTCTAATTGTCCACGCTCAACTGACGTTGGCTGTAAATCACCACGGCCCCTTACGTTATGGCAAGCATCAGGGCCACTTCCTGGAGTCGTGGTACATTTCATTTAATTAAAGCGTGTTTAAAAAAAAAAGTACTTTTAAATATTACTTATTCAGAAGCGACTTGCCACCAATAATAGCTCAACGAAGTGGCTCATCATCACGTGTAAATTATAGCAGCTAAATACTTTAAACGAATATTCATATTCTTGGTTCTTTCGGTAAAGTCACGTAAATAGAAAAAAGAAATTAGTAATGAAAAAGAAATAAATATAATAAATTGCTATTATCAATTTATCTTATTCTTTTTATTTAAAAAACATAGATTTTTTTGTTTTCTATTTAGGTGACTTTACCGAAAGAACCAAGAATATTAATTCCTGCAGTCACGAAAGTTTTAAGTCAAAACTTTAAACGAATGTTTCTTAATGTGGAGACAAAAACCAGAGGACCCGGAGAAAAATCCACGCGACCACGGGGAGAGACAGAGACACGCAAACTCCAAATATACAGCAGGCATCAGGGTCGGGATCGAACCTACAAACTCCTGTATACCAGGCGAGGTAGTTAGGGGGGAAAGCAGAGACAGCGAGAGGGAAGATAATTAGTCAAACTCACACTCGGTATTACTCACCAAACATGATATACTCACCATCACACTCACAATGATACTCACCACCATACTCACACATTCACCATCATACTCACACACAAGCCAACACACATCAACAGTCGCCATTCACCACTACGTGGCGGTGACGTCACCACAATAACCCAGGTGCCATGGATTGACGGCTGTGCCAGGCTAAGTGCAGGAGGAGGTCACGGGCGAGACTCAGGTGCCATGGGCCGACTGCTCTGCCTGGCTCGGTACAAGAGGAGGGCTAGACCCTGATGCTATGGGTTAACTCGTGTGCCACCACCTGCACAACCACCACAGTAACAACCACACAACTATAATCACAACAATAACCACGACCAACAACTGTAACCACAACTATAACGTAACCACAACTATAACGTAACCACAACTATAACGTAACCACAACTATAACGTAACCACAACTATAACGTAACCACAACTATAATGTAACCACAACAGAAATTCCCACCAGCCACGCGGCCGTCTGGGAGTGCCTCTCAGCAGCAGCAGCAGGGCCGAGCTCTGCTTGAAGCTGCGCCGTGAACTCCGCAGAACGTGACGGCTGTGGGCCAGGCGCCTCCTCTGTCTCCTGCCGCCGCCACTGCTGATGTGGACACACCGCGCGAGGTTCTCACCTTCAGGCTGAGTCGACGTAGAGGAGGCCCAGCGAGCCGCCGCTTCAGAAGCGCTCGCTCGCCACTGACGGTGGCCGTGAGCGGGAATCCAAACCAGCCGCTCGCCACCCACAATGCACAGCGCGCGCCGCCTCCACTCGGCCCCAGCGGAAGTGGCAGCGGGGGGAGGGGGGTGGGGCATGGGGGGTGAGGGGGTGGGGCATGGGGGTGAGGGGCATGGGGGGTGAGGGGGAGGGGCATGGGGGGTGAGGGGCATGGGGGGTGAGGGGGAGGGGCATGGGGGGTGAGGGGCATGGGAGGTGAGGGTGAGGGGCATGGGGGGTGAGGGGCATGGGGGGTGAGGGGCATGGGGGGTGAGGGTGAGGGGCATGGGGGGTGAGGGCCATGGGGGGTGAGGGGGAGGGGCATGGGGGGTGAGGGGCATGGGGGGTGAGGGGGTGGGGTATGGGGGGTGAGGGGGTGGGGCATGGGGGTGAGGGAGAGGGGAATGGGGGGTGAGGGGCATGGGGGGTGAGGGGGAGGGGCATGGGGGGTGAGGGGGAGGGGCATGGGGGGTGAGGGGCATGGGGGGTGAGGGGCATGGGGGGTGAGGGTGAGGGGCATGGGGGGTGAGGGGCATGGGGGGTGAGGGGGAGGGGCATGGGGGGTGAGGGTGAGGGGCATGGGGGGTGAGGGGCATGGGGGGTGAGGGGGAGGGGCATGGGGGGTGAGGGGCATGGGGGGTGAGGGGGTGGGGCATGGGGGGTGAGGGGGAGGGGCATGGGGGTGAGGGGGTGGGGTATGGGGGGTGAGGGGGAGGGGCATGGGGGGTGAGGGGCATGGGGGGTGAGGGGGTGGGGCATGGGGGGTGAGGGGCATGGGGGGGTGAGGGGGAGGGGCATGGGGGGGAGGGGGGTGGGGTATGGGGGGTGAGGGGGTGGGGTATGGGGGGTGAGGGGGTGGGGCATGGGGGGTGAGGGGGTGGGGTATGGGGGGTGAGGGGGTGGGGTATGGGGGGTGAGAGGGTGGGGCATGGGGGGTGAGGGGGTGGGGTATGGGGGGTGAGGGGGAGGGGCATGGGGGGTGAGGGGGTGGGGTATGGGGGGTGAGGGGGAGGGGCATGGGGGTGAGGGGGTGGGGCATGGGGAGTGAGGGGGTGGGGCATGGGGGGTGAGGGGGAGGGGCATGGGGGGTGAGGGGGTGGGGTATGGGGGGTGAGGGGGAGGGGTATGGGGGGTGAGGGGGTGGGGTATGGGGGGTGAGGGGGAGGGGCATGGGGGGTGAGGGGGTGGGGTATGGGGGGTGAGGGGGTGGGGCATGGGGGGTGAGGGGGTGGGGTATGGGGGGTGAGGGGGAGGGGTATGGGGGGTGAGGGGGTGGGGTATGGGGGGTGAGGGGGAGGGGCATGGGGGGTGAGGGGGTGGGGTATGGGGGGTGAGGGGGTGGGGCATGGGGGGTGAGGGGGTGGGGTATGGGGGGTGAGGGGGTGGGGTATGGGGGGTGAGAGGGTGGGGCATGGGGGGTGAGGGGGTGGGGTATGGGGGGTGAGGGGCATGGGGGTGAGGGGGTGGGGTATGGGGGTGAGGGGGAGGGGCATGGGGGTGAGGGGGTGGGGCATGGGGGGTGAGGGGGAGGGGCATGGGGGTGAGGGGGAGGGGCATGGGGGGTGAGGGGCATGGGGGGTGAGGGGGTGGGGCATGGGGAGTGAGGGGGTGGGGCATGGGGGGTGAGGGGGAGGGGCATGGGGGGTGAGGGGGAGGGGCATGGGGGGTGAGGGGGAGGGGCATGGGGGGTGAGGGGCATGGGGGGTGAGGGGGAGGGGCATGGGGGTGAGGGGGGGCATGGGGGGTGAGGGGGAGGGGCATGGGGGGTGAGGGGGAGGGGCATGGGGGGTGAGGGGGAGGGGCATGGGGGGTGAGGGGGAGGGGCATGGGGGGAGGAGCTCATGGCTGTGACATCACGGGGGGGGGGCGTGGTTACCTTGTACCGCCCCCGCGTCTCGCGCCACTGGCAGTTTGGCCGTTAGAGATGTCTACGTAGTTTATATTTTAGTTGTTTACGTGGTGGTTTAGTTACTGCAGCTACATACTATTAACATTCCTTCCCTTTATTAATGCTACCCCTATCCCCTCCCTTTGATGCTGCTAATCCTGCATAATGCACGGGCATAATATGACTTTGAAAACCCTGCCCACCTCCTACGCATTTCACAAGTAGTGCTAATCACATACCTGCATTTCCCATAAATATGCTAAATTCCTCTTGATATGCAAATTATTTTGTCAAGGCACCCTTCTCCTTTCAACCCAGCTTAAATATACGCTCCAAGCGTGGTGGTGTCTCATTCAGACGCTGTCTCCCCGACAGACCTGGTCTTCACCTGAGGACGGCTGCTTGCGTTGTGGCCGAAACGTCGTGAGAATTATTTTATTATGTTTTATTTTTATTATTTTATTATTTCCCTTCTACGTGACTTTACCAAAATAACCAAGAAGATGAATCCTTGCAATCACGAAAGCTTTAAATCGAGATGTAGAGGTGTTACGTACCGGGGTGTAGCAAGCCATTACGTTGCGGTGTCTACATCACGGTCCGAGCGTGGGGTGTCTACATCAACGTCCGCATACAGCCCCGCCCCTCGGGGGGCAGTTGGCTATATAAGGCGGTGCGTGAGAGAGCAGAAGAGCCGTTGAAGACTGAAAACCAGCTCGCAAGCCCTGGGACTACACTGAGTCGGTCTCCTGCAGGAGTGGAACCGAGCTGTGGGTGAGTGGTGGCTGTGTGAGTCTCTGTGTGAGTCTGTGTGTGTGTGAGTCTCTCTGTGTGGAACGGTCATGGTGGGGGTATTGAGGGGGGTACATGGGGGGTCTCGGGTGGGGGGCAGAGGAGGCATGGGGGAGGAGCTCAGGTGGGGGGGAGGAGCTCATGGCTGTGACATCACGGGGGGGGCGTGGTTAACTTGTACCGCCCCCGCGTCTCGCGCCACGTGCTTCCCACTGGCAGTTTGCCCGTGAGAGAGGCGCCGACAGACCCCAGAGCAGGTGAGGAGTTGAACCGAGCTGTGGGTGAGTGGTGGTGGTGGTGTTAGTCTCTCTGTGTGAGTCTGTGTGTGTGTGAGTCTCTCTGTGTGAAACTATCTGTGTGAGTCTGTGTGTGTGTGAGTCTGTGTGTGTGTGAGTCTCTCTGTGTGAGTCTGTGTGTGTGTGAGTCTCTCTGTGTGAGTCTGTGTGTGTGAGTCTCTCTGTGTGAGTCTGTGTGTGTGTGGAACGGTCGTGTAGCTGACAGCGTGCCGCGCTATTAACTGCGAGACCCCGAGGTGGATTCTCTCTCAAGGCCAACAGCAGTGACGATTATCTGAACCGGTGCTGGGCCTCCCCTAGGTCGACTCAACCTCGAATGAGTACCTGGTGCGGTGTGTAAAGGTCGCCACTAGGGAGACAAAGGCGGCCGGGCGTGGTGCTGGCAATCCAACCCCCTCGTGTGTCGTGCCAGCCTTCATACGTACTGCTGGCTAACAGCACTTTCCCCTATGGACTGTTAAGTCTCTACGGGGATCTTTGTTTTTATTTCGATTTAAAGCTTTCGTGACTGTGGGATTCATCTTCTTGGTTCTTTCGGTAAAGTCACGTAGAAGGGTATTAATAAAATAATAAAAATAAAACATTATAAAATAATTCTCACGACGTTTTGGCCACAACGCAAGCAGCCGTCCTCAAGTGAAGACCAGGTCTGTCGGGGAGACAGCGTCTGAATGAAACACCACCACGCTTGGAGCGTATATTTAAGCTGGGTTGGAAGGGGGGAAGGGTGCCTTGACAAAATAATTTGCATATCAAGAGGAATTTAGCATATTTATGGGAAATGCAGGTATGTGATTAGTACTACTTGTGAAATGCGTAGGAGGTTTGGCGGGGGGGTTCAAAGTCATATTATGCCCGTGCATTATGCAGGATTAGCGATTAATTACGACTTTGTTAACGTCTAGCTTTTCAGTGTGTGGGTCCGGTCTCTTATTTGAGAGGCGGTTGAATTTGGAAATCAAGTTGTCCTTACATTTGGTCGACATAGCGGCAGCTGAAGAGGCAGTCATATTGTCTACATGTTCCCAATCCGATGTGGACATTGTTGCAGTCAAAGATAAGAGTGATTTGTAGAGTGTCTTGTCTAACTGATCTAGTTCGGTGCGCGTAAGTCTGATTTTCTCTGAGATAAGAGCTAAGCTAGTTCTAAACAGAATTCGTTTAGCATTAGAAGAAGTTACAGCAGCAGAGGTTAGTGTAAATGCGATTGGTATTACCTTAGAGTCACGGCATCTCTTTAGAAAGGTGAGAGACTCGATTAGCTGAGCCTTTTTTGTCTTTGGTGTCCCATACTGGCAGGGGGAGGAGTGGTGGTGTTAATGTTGGTGGTATTCGTGGGGGTGGTGTGTGGTGCCACAACGACGGGGCCGCTCTGCCGAACCAGGGAGCCGCCCGGCTTCCCCCACCGCACTGCCCCCCATCACCCGCCCCACATAAGCACACACCCGCACGCATTCCCCCCCCCCCCCCCCATAGAGCTGGAAGGGAAGGTCACCTGATCGACCGGTTTTTATCCGAGAGACCCTTATCGGGATTAATTCTCACGGTTTCCGGCGATCAGGGAATTGGATGACCTCCCCGTGCTACGTGGCACCGCGGCGCTGCGGCCGGCCTTAATATGGTGTGGTCGCAGCGTGGGGCATTCGGCCACCGCGGTTGAGGCACATATCCCCCCACACACACCCCCACGAGTCGACGGGGCAAGCAGGGGAGGCACGAGACAGCATGAATAGCGGGGTCACAGGGGCTGTTGCGCATAGTCATGGAGGGTTGGGATAATTGCGCTTGAGCGCGCAGGCCCCACTGTTAGGGAGGGTAAGGGATTAATTAGGATTTACGCCTTGCACGCAGCACACTGATTAGCATATCAACAGCGCCTGGGGACTGCCGTGCGCGGGCTTGGGGTGCACGAGCCCATTGTTCAGCGCAGCATCCCCTTTGGAGGTAGGGAGGATAAATAGAGGAGCGCAGAGGGGAAATCGCTCTCTTACTCCAGCGCCAGGCGACCAGACGCAGCTCGAGCCAGCGACCCGGACGTCCGTGCGACGCACCGAGGCACGCGGTTAACACAAGGATCAGCGGACCGCCGTGGACACTTAACAGTGAGTAAGAAGGTGAAATTAGAATCATAGCCGATAAATAGGGAATAGGTACAGGTTTAGTGGAATAGGCCAGCCTCGTCGACTCACTGATTCAACATCAATTCGCAGGTGGCATATAATAAATCATTAATAGCGAAGCGTGGTCTCGCGTGATCTTGTCGTGCAGTGTGAGCGTGTGGGTGCGCTGTGTGCACAGTGGTTCGCCACGTGAGTGAGCGCTGCGCGGAGCTGAGCGCGCGGGTTGCGTGTGGGAACGCGTGTGGTACTGTGTGTGCGTAAGCTCGCGGCGTGCGTAATAGGCGTACCCCAGGTGCGCGATCATAACGCAAGCGGCCAGCAGACGGCGAGCGCTGCGCAGAGCGGCGCAAGAGTGGGTGTCGCGTGTGTTCACTCCGTGTGTGATACAGGTGCGCGATCATAACTTGCGTAGTTGGTGTGGAGTTGGAGTGCACGGAGCGGCGTGTGTGTGTGTGCATACGTTCGTTACATGTCGGATACGGATGCGCATTGGTAACGTGCCGCACAGGGCTATACTGCGAGCACGGCGTTTGATTGACGATGATGTGCGCACGTATGCTCGCAGCGTGGGAGCGCGGCGCGAGGCTGTAACAGTAGGGGCGTCGCATTCGAATGCCGGCGAAACCGTAGCGAGTAATAGGGAGGTGGGGTAACGTAAACGGAATAGGGGATGCAGGCGGGAGGGACCCCGGGGGCCAACGGCCCCCACAAATTGGTGTCGGAAGCGGTACGGACCCCCGCGTTACCTCACGCTAAAATAAGACTAATATTTACCGGCCGGGGGGCCCCTTCGTGGAAGGCATTCGCCCGCAATCTCTTAGGGGCCAAGGAAATTAATGGATGGACGGACGCGCAGGCAGTACGTCAACTTAATATGAATCTTGATGGGCGGGCAGCCGATTTTGTAGAAGCGTTACCCGCGAGCGCACAGACACAGCTAGAGGAGCTGATGCGCCGACTCGATCAGCGTTTCGGCACGCGTGACGAGGAGGAAGCAAAATCGGCCTTAGAGGCGCGCCATCGCCAACCTGGCGAAGATCTACGTGATTACGCCGAGGATGTGCGCGAGTTAACAAAGATCGCACGCTCGGGGTATGCAACTGATGTTATTGAGGAACTGGCCGCCGAGAAAATCCAGCGGTACCTGTCTCGCACGGCGTGGTGGCAGCCAGACATGAGCTGCCCACGTCTTCCCTTTAACGCCCTTGTCGAGCGCGCACGTAAGTGTGAAAGAATTCACAGCGAACGCGCGCAGCTCCGGGGGCTGGGACGAGAGCGCGTCATTGCGAGCCTGCTCTCGGAAGACGAGGAGGAGGAACAGGAGCTCGCGAGGACGGTAAGGGGCCGGGAAAGAGAGCCTCCAGTGTCCCGCGAGACAACCCCGGGATGGGTTGCCGGTATACAAACGGGTATAAAGGATGTCTCCGGCCAGGTAACCCAGGTACGCGAGGAAACGAATACAAATATGACCCAACTGCAATCCTCCGTTGAGACCATCCGATCCGAGATGGGGGAACTAGACTCCACGGTAGGAGGGCTAACTGGAAGGATAGCGCGACTAGAAGCAGAGTATGAGCAGCAGCGCACTGGGGGAGGAGGGAGTGGGCAGAGAGCCCACTACGGAGCCGCCACCCCTCCCCGGGCATGTTATATGTGCGATCGCCGAGGGCATCTAGTGAGGGACTGTCCTCAGGTCGCCCGAGCTAGACAAGAGCTAAGGTCAAACACTAAGGCCCCCCTAGAGAGGGGACCACCGGGGGGTGAAATCAACGTAGCCCCGACACAAACAAGCTGTGAGAATAATGGCGAGCGAGTGATCTCCACACAGGTTCCAGCAACAACGCCCACAGAAACGGTGACTCCTGGCGACTGGCTGCGGGAGCTGGTGGCGGGGATCACGGGGGCCACGTCGCTGGTGGAAGGGGAGGTAAACGGAGTGCGTACCCGAATCCTGCTGGACACGGGGGCGGTGGCCTCGCTCGTGAGCGCAGCGCACTGCAGCGCGATCGGGGTCGACGTGCGTCACCTGCAGGCACCGGACCGCGCGCTGCACACGGCGAGCGGAGCCGGAATGGGGCTGCTGGGGAGAGCCACCCTAGAGGTCCGCATAGGCAGCCAGGTGTGCACGCAGGAGTTCTACGTGTCGAGTGCGTTGTGTCACGAGTGTATCGCAGGCACCGACCTCCTAGAATGGTTGGGACTCAACGTGCAACCCCGCCAGCGATGCGCCACCATGGAGAGCAACGGCGAGCGGATACCATTCCTGGGACGAGAACCAACGCGCCGCCACTTTGCACCTGTGGCCGCTATCCTGGCGAAGGCAGTCACCATCGGCCCGCTCACCGAGATGCTGGTGCCGGTGGCAACATCCCCCACCGACCCCGCGCTCCGACCATCAGGGGAGGTAATGCTAACTCCTCACCCGGAGTTGGCAAAACGGTATGGGGTTGTGGGATCCGCCACGTTGGTAAACGCAGATGGGGACCGATTGTTTATGCGGATGTTTAACCCCCACAATACCCCAGCGATACTGCGACGGCGCACCCCGATAGCCACAGTACACCCCCTGCACGCACGCCACTCTAACGACTCGGTGTTCGCACTCTGGGCTGAGGGCCCCGGTCGTCCTGAGGGTGAGCAGGACCTGGCCTGGCGAGTCGGCCCGACTCCCCGAGCCGAGGTCGTTCCCCTGCTCGACGCGTTACATGTACCATGGGCGGATTTACCTAAGGGAGAGGGCGATCGGCTGCGCGAGTTACTGCGGGAGTATGCCGACGTATTCAGTGAACACGACTCGGACGTGGGTCGGACCGATCTTGTTAAGCACCAAATTGACACCGGTGCAGCCCGACCCATCAAACTCCCTGCGTACCGAGTGGGCGCACCCGAACGCGCCCAAATCAAAGAGGCAGTTGGGGACATGCTTCGCGATAACATAATTCAGCCCTCGGCGAGCCCCTGGTCAGCCCCAGTGGTACTAGTAACGAAAAAGGATGGGTCAACCCGGTTCTGCGTCGATTACCGTAAACTAAATGCAGTCACGCTCGGCGATGCCTTCCCCATACCCCGCATCGACGACACCTTCGACAGCCTCGCCGGAGCGCGATATTTTTCCACCCTCGATCTCGCGTCCGGGTACTGGCAGGTGGAGATGGCGGAGGAGGATCGGCCGAAAACCGCATTCACCACCCCGATGGGCCTGTTTGAGTTTCGAGTGTTGCCGTTCGGACTCACTAACGCGCCCGCGACGTTCCAGCGGTTGATGGAGTTGGTGATGCGGGGCTTGCAGTGGGAACAGTGCCTGATTTACTTGGACGATGTGATAGTGTTCAGTAGATCTTTGTCTGAGCATTGGTCCAGGCTTCGCGAGGTGTTCCAGCGACTGCGAGCGGCTCATCTCAAGCTCAAGCCACGTAAGTGTTACATCGCACAACGCGAGGTGGGGTACCTCGGGCATCGCGTCAGCGAGGCAGGCGTGCGCACCGATCCGGAGAAGGTACGCGCCGTAGTGGAGTGGCCACGGCCAAGGAATCTGACGGAGATCAGATCATTTTTGGGGCTCGCCACCTATTATCGTCGATTTGTAAAGGGATTCAGCGAGATTGCACGCCCTCTCACCCAACTCACCTCCCCTAAGCACCCCTACCAGTGGACGGGGGCCTGCCAGACGGCCTTCACCACTCTCAAAGATCACCTCACCCACGCCCCCACCCTCGCTTTCCCCGATTTTACCACCGATTTTATTTTGGACACCGACGCCTGCAGCAGCGGGCTGGGCGCGGTGTTGTCACAGGTACAGGATGGAACGGAACGAGTCATCGCGTACGCCAGCCGGACCTTGAGTGGGGCCGAGCTGAACTATTGCGTGACCCGCCAAGAGTTGTACGCCGTGATTTTCGCATGCAAACAGTTCCGGCCGTATTTGTACGGCAGGAGATGTCGCGTCCGCACTGACCATTATGCTCTGCAGTTTCTTCTTACATTCAAGGAGCCGCGGGGGCAGATGGCCCGGTGGTTGGCGCAGTTGCAGGAGTACAACCTGCAAATCGAGTATCGGGCTGGCCGGACGCATGCAAACGCGGACGCCTTGTCGAGGCGACCCACGGTGTACGCCGAGACGAGGGCGGAGGAGGCCTGCCCGTGTTTCACGGGGGGACGCTGCCGGCAGGCAACGGACCCCCGAGAGGCCGCGGCCACTGACCCCCCCCCCAGCGAGAGAGAGTGCAGTGTGCGCCACGGAAACCCTCACAGGTGGCACTGAGGATCCCGTCGACCGCCCGGCAAGCGCGGGACCCGCGGCTCGGGACCCGATTGGACGGATCCAGGAGGACGTCGGCTGCGCCTTCCCGGGCCTAAACGACGAGCAGCTGAGACAGACCCAGCAGCGAGATCCGGATCTGGCGGCAGTGGAGGCGGCACTGCGGGAGGAAAAGAGCGCCCTACCAGGACCCTGGAGCGGTTTGTATGGCCGGTTGTGTGTGCAGAACGGAGTGGTACGGGAGTTAACCGAGGCCGGCCAGCCGGGGTGCATCTGTGTTCCTGCCGAGGTGCGACCCCAGCTGCTACGGCTGGTGCATGACCACCCACTCGGGGGCCACGATGGGGAACGACGTACTCGAGAGACCCTGCGTCGCCAGTATCTCTGGCCCAAATTGGCACAAGACGTGGCGGCCTGGGTACAGGGCTGCCGCGCCTGTCAGCAGTAGGGGCCGAAACCGGCACGATACCAGGTACCCCTAAGGCCGTTCCGCGTCAGCCGCACGAATCAGCTGGTCGGGATCGACCTACAGGGGCCATTCCCGCGATCCCATCGAGGCAACCGATATATCCTAGTCGCAGTAGAGTATTTCACCCGCTACCCCGTGGCAGTGGCCATCCCTGATAAAACGGCCTTGGTGGTGGCCCGGGCATTTGTGGAACACTACGTACTTAAGCACGGGATCCCAGAACGAGTCCTCACCGACCAGGGTAGCGAGTTTGAGGCCGAGTTGTTCCAGGCACTGTGCCGAGAGTTCGGAATCCAGAAGGACCGAACCACAGCGTACCACCCCCAGGCGAACGGGATGGTGGAGCGCATGAATCAGACCTTATCGGGGAAACTCAAACGTATGGCGGCCGCAAATCAACGGGATTGGGATGAACACCTCCCCTACGCCCTTTTCGCCTACGCCACCACCGTACACACGTCGACGGGACAAACCCCGTTTTTAATGATGTTTGGTCGCGAGTCTCGCCTGCCCGCAGATCTGCTGTTCGGTGTCCCTCCGCCGCAACGGGAGGAAGGGAGCCACCCCGTGGAGCACTTGCTGGAGACCCTGCGAGGGGCCAGGGGCCGAGCCTACCCGCACGGAGAGGCCGCGCACCAGCGGCAAGAGCAGGGCGCCCGACCCCGTATGGAGCCCCCCTTCTACACTGCGGGCTCCGAGGTGTGGCTGTACACTCCCCGCGTCGGTGCCGGACAGGTGGGGAAGCTGACCACCTACTGGCGAGGACCCTGGATTGTGAGACGGCAGATCTCACCCTGGACGGTGCTGATTCAGGGAGGAGAGAGGGGCCGGGAGATGGTGGTCAACATCCGCCGACTGAAGCCGTGGCGAGCAGCCCCCGAGGGAGGGAGCCCCGCCGTCCAAGTACCCCGAAACCCCGGGGTCCCCCCACCCCCCGTGCCCGGGGGCCTCGCGCAGTACATGGGCCCCACGGAGCCCCGGGCTCCGAGGGGGCCCGGGCGGGGCCGGGGGCGACGAGGACGGCGACCCTTAAACCCCACCGCCTCTGAGTTTGTTCCCCAGCCCGCAGGTGCCAGAGGCCGAGGGGAGCCGTTGGAATGGAGGAGGAGACCACCGCCGGAGCCCCAGGAGACGGAGCCGCCACCCCCGAGGCCAGCCACAAGGGCCGGGCGAATCCCGCGGACCCCGCGGCGATACCTCGTGGGGGCAACCCAGGCGAGGTGCTCCAGTCAACCCGGGACGGGGACTGGCACCCCGGGGGGCTATGTGGTGCCACAACGACGGGGCCGCTCTGCCGAACCAGGGAGCCGCCCGGCTTCCCCCACCGCACTGCCCCCCATCACCCGCCCCACATAAGCACACACCCGCACGCATTCCCCCCCCCCCCCATAGAGCTGGAAGGGAAGGTCACCTGATCGACCGGTTTTTATCCGAGAGACCCTTATCGGGATTAATTCTCACGGTTTCCGGCGATCAGGGAATTGGATGACCTCCCCGTGCTACGTGGCACCGCGGCGCTGCGGCCGGCCTTAATATGGCGTGGTCGCGGCGTGGGGCATTCGGCCACCGCGGTTGAGGCGCATTTCCCCCCACACACACCCCCACGAGTCGACGGGGCAAGCAGGGGAGGCACGAGACAGCATGAATAGCGGGGTCACAGGGGCTGTTGCGCATAGTCATGGAGGGTTGGGATAATTGCGCTTGAGCGCGCAGGCCCCACTGTTAGGGAGGGTAAGGGATTAATTAGGATTTACGCCTTGCACGCAGCACACTGATTAGCATATCAACAGCGCCTGGGGACTGCCGTGCGCGGGCTTGGGGTGCACGAGCCCATTGTTCAGCGCAGCATCCCCTTTGGAGGTAGGGAGGATAAATAGAGGAGCGCAGAGGGGAAATCGCTCTCTTACTCCAGCGCCAGGCGACCAGACGCAGCTCGAGCCAGCGACCCGGACGTCCGTGCGACGCACCGAGGCACGCGGTTAACACAAGGATCAGCGGACCGCCGTGGACACTTAACAGTGAGTAAGAAGGTGAAATTAGAATCATAGCCGATAAATAGGGAATAGGTACAGGTTTAGTGGAATAGGCCAGCCTCGTCGACTCACTGATTCAACATCAATTCGCAGGTGGCATATAATAAATCATTAATAGCGAAGCGTGGTCTCGCGTGATCTTGTCGTGCAGTGTGAGCGTGTGGGTGCGCTGTGTGCACAGTGGTTCGCCACGTGAGTGAGCGCTGCGCGGAGCTGAGCGCGCGGGTTGCGTGTGGGAACGCGTGTGGTACTGTGTGTGCGTAAGCTCGCGGCGTGCGTAATAGGCGTACCCCAGGTGCGCGATCATAACGCAAGCGGCCAGCAGACGGCGAGCGCTGCGCAGAGCGGCGCAAGAGTGGGTGTCGCGTGTGTTCACTCCGTGTGTGATACAGGTGCGCGATCATAACTTGCGTAGTTGGTGTGGAGTTGGAGTGCACGGAGCGGCGTGTGTGTGTGTGCATACGTTCGTTACATGTCGGATACGGATGCGCATTGGTAACGTGCCGCACAGGGCTATACTGCGAGCACGGCGTTTGATTGACGATGATGTGCGCACGTATGCTCGCAGCGTGGGAGCGCGGCGCGAGGCTGTAACAGTAGGGGCGTCGCATTCGAATGCCGGCGAAACCGTAGCGAGTAATAGGGAGGTGGGGTAACGTAAACGGAATAGGGGATGCAGGCGGGAGGGACCCCGGGGGCCAACGGCCCCCACAGGTGCTTGTGATGGTGGTGGTGTTAGTTTTAGTGATGGTGGTGTTAGTGATTGTGGTTGTTATTAGTGGTGATAGTGGTGGTGTTACTGGTGTTGGTGATGGTGATGTTGGTGGTATTAGTGGTGGTGGTGTTAGTGAGGTGGCAGGATGCCCTGGTGGTCCCCATCTTTAAGAAGGGAGACCGCACAGACTGTAACAACTACAGGGGCATCTCACTCCTCAGTGTGCCGGGAAAGGTCCTGGCAAGGATTATTCAACACCGCCTTGCCAGGCACGCTGAGGAAAGGCAGTTGTTGCTTTTTGTGTTTTTCGTATTATGGGTGACTGGTGAGGATGTGAGTCTGTGTTGATGATGAGAGTCCGCATTGTGAAGTGACGTGTGTTTAGACGTGGGTTTGTCACGCCCCTTCGACTCTGTGACCCTCGCCTCTGTCTCCCGCTCTCCACGCAGAGACGCGGACCGCGCGAGAGACACCGTGAGCTTTGAGCACCCTCGTCTGCAAGTTGCTACCATGGAGGTACATGTGGCTCCTCGACTTGTGTGGTGAAGTATGGGTGGACGTGTGTTCTCCCGTCTGCGTGTGCCTACCTGTGACCTGTATACCTGGATGTGCTTCTCCTTGCCCGCCTGAGTGTGTGTGCGTCTATCAGTGTCTCTCCGAGATCCTGTTGGTGTACATGCCCGTCTACGCGTGAGCATCTACAGCACTGTTATCTATCCACTGATGGATGAACGCCTCGCTCCCTGAGACCCTGCTACCCCTCACATCCTGTGATGGAATAATCCACCAAGCGCCGGTTTCGTCGCACCATCTCTCTGGCGGCTCTCCTCTCTGATGTGTTCCGTTCCTTGGTTGTCGCTGTTATTATTCTTGACTGTCAGCCATTGTTGTCCATCCTGGCCATGGCTCGTCCTACCCGAGTCCCACTCACTCCTCAAGCTCTAGTGGTGGACCTTGTTGTGTGTGTGTGTAGATCAGCCGAGCTGGAGAGGCTCAGAGTAACGGCGAGTCTTGCACCACGTGGAGTGCGCTGTCCTCAGGGCGCACCGCCTCCATCCGCAGCAAATCGCCACAATGTAAGAACAGAAATGAGTGACGTCAAGATGGCCACACTGAATGGTGGGACATCACGACGGTCATGTTTCAAGGGGGACGTGACAGTGACCATGATGCATGGGGGACTTCATGGTGGCCATGTTGCATGGGTGATGTACCGTTCGACTTTTGCCGTTCTCTGGTCTCACACCGGCGAGACAAGGTCATTAAGAAGGCTGTCTCTGGTGCAGGCCAGTCAATTTCAAAGACTGCATATATTATCGGAGCATGTTTGTTTGCATATTTTTCCACAAGTATGTGTGGTAAATGCAGACTTGATGCCTTGCAAAAGGTATCTATTTGGTGTTTGAACATATTAACACCTGTTTTTGTGCCAGAAAGGGTAAAAGCTATTCTTATTTCATAAAATCCTTGGCATATCTGTGTTATATTTATCTAATTCATTAACCCCGTTGTCAAATCCAAGCAACCTAAGACGTCATCAAAGCTGCATATAGCTGGACATCGAGCGAAGATGGTCACTGCATCGCACGTTTTCAGATGTGCTTCTGCAGTCATCTGGAATGCTCTTCTGACATTAGGAAGCCACTGGAGCGATGTTCTTTTAAATCTATAATTTTTGCGAACTTTTTAGTTTATTGTCCTTCTCCCTCACTTCTGTTTAGCAGGGTTGCCAAAGCACGGTGCAAAATAAGTTCAACATACAGACATAACTGGTATTGGCCAAAACATCCAAATCCCCTGCAAATTCCTCAAATTGGCATCACACAGCAGACGTAATGGCAGCAGCGTCACCCCCATTCTCTGTAAATCATCTGCAGGAACCTCCTGAAAAGGAATCTAAACAAATCATCACCGACAGCTGTTGTTGTTATTCTCTTGCCTGCAGCAATCCTGGCTCTCTTTGGCCCTCAAATGACCCACCGGGAGAAGCTGGAGCTTGTCGCCATACAGGAAGTATGGTACTTTGCGCTCCGCAACAGATCCCGGGGACCAAACAACGATGGATACGACGACCACGAACATCATTACATTCCGGTGAGACTCGCCACAAAGCCCCCGCCGTGGGGCGGTCACGGGCGCAGCGGTCGCGAGGTTCGTGGCTTCTTGTCATTGCACCTGAAGTACCAACCAACCAGAGACAGCACACATGCACTCTCCCACACACTTCACAATCAAGTTTATTTCACAAGCTAAGCCCATTGAGCTAATGAGCTTTTTTAAGGGTGTCTCAGCCAGCAGACATCAGAGCATTCCACAATTACAGATTTAAGAAAACCAAACACTTAATGAAACAATTATTTTGTAAAATAATGCTCACACTTCTTACATGTTATGATTTTCAAAATATAGTCAGTCTAAATGATTGTAATTTGGTGCAGGTCCAGCATGAGCACCTCCACTACTGCTATGAGGTGCTGAAGAAGATTGGGTACGGAGGTCAAGGCCAGGTGATCCGGTGCCTTGACCACATGAGGAACACCCTGGTGGCCGTGAAGATCTTGGTATCACCATTGAGGTAAGAATTCAGAGCGGTGTTGTCACAAGGACGACGTTGTTGTTCAGTCCTTTGCTGTGGGCGGCCGTGTGATGAGGTGGTGACAACTCGTGCCTCACAGAGGGTAGATGCATTCCTGAAAAGTGCCGCGTTAAGGGAAAGCACATTAAGCAAACATAATATCCCCATATATAATGTAACGATAAAGTTTTGCAAGATATAATACACGCACACAGTGATATGAAGAGACCAATAATGGAGGGTATGCTGTCACGTCACGTTATCATTCCGCATTCCGCCTAGTGTATCATACCGCTCAGCCGTGCAGTTTCATAGCGGGCACATTCCACGTTATAATGGGCGCTTTCCTGCATTAGAACAGATGCATTCCGGATTATAATGGGTGCGGTCCGCGCTATAATGGGAGCCTTCCACGTTATAACGAGAGCCTTCCACGCAATAAAAGGCACGTTCCACGCTATAAAAGGCACGTTTCACGCTTTAATGAGGTTGTCCCATGTCATAACGGGCGCGTTCTGTGTTATAACATGTGCGTTCTGCGTTATAGTAGCTACATCATGGGACCTCCTTTGCCAGTACCAAAAATATACTGGCAAAGGAGGTCCCATGATGTAGCTGCTCACCCCGAGCTCTCATTCCTCTGATAGTGCTCGTCTTTGTGCTGTACGCCTTTTGGCGTCCTCTGGTTTAACACCGTTTTGAGACTAGACTCAACAGAAAGCTCTCTGGTGTGGACCAATCAGTTTAAAAGACAATGCATATATTATCAGCGTTTTTTGTTTCCATACTGACCACAAGTATTGTGGTTAATACAACCATGATTCCTTGTAAAAGGTTTCGTTTTTTTTATCTTAACACCTGTTTTTTTACCAGAAAAAAAGGGAAAATCTATTCTCATATTTTGGTTATTGGCAAAGGAGGTCCCACGATGTTCCACGTTATAATGCCTTGCTTTGTGAGAGCCACATTCAGTCACGAATCAGCTATGGCTCAGTCTCTAAAACTCAGCTCCAGCTCAGCCGTGGTTTGGCTCAGGCTTGAGCCACTCAGCTGCTGATAAAGATACACGAGTGGCTCAGCCGTGGCTTGGCTCAGCTCCTGGAAATCCTGAGTGTGGCTGGGGCCATGCTCGGAGTCGGCTCGATTCACACATTAGGGAATCACTTCGTTAAGGCAGCACCCCAAACCCCCCTCTATCCCTTGCTTATTTTATCCTCTTCCCTATCCTTTCTGGAACCTTCCATGAGTGTGCTACTGGAACTCACAATGACATAACACTTGGGGAAGGTATAATTATTTAATTCTGAATATATTTTGTTTCTGGTCATTCCTTAAGCAAGTCTAAGTCATGATTCATTTGTGGATTTTCTCTGCACAGCTCCAAGCATGATAAATCTCAGAGAATGGAGATCAAGATGGCTCTGGCACTTCAGGGCAAGGGCAGTGATGAGGAGTACAACGTCGTCAAAGTCCTGAACCATTTTGACTTCAGAGGACACCACTGCATTGTCCTGGAGCTGTTGAAGTATGTACCATGTGTTCTCACCGCCCCCACCCCCCCCCCCCCCCCCTTGGCGTGGTTAACTTCATTAGCTAAACAAAAACTATTTTATTTAGCAGGTAAAGCCCACTGCCCGATTAGTTATTTTTCACAAGCGGCCTGGCTACAAATGATAGCTCAAAAAAGTGGCTGATGTGGAAATGTATGGCAGCCGAATACTCTAAACACATGTTTCTAAATGTGGAGGGAAAAACCAGAGGACCCCGAGAAAAATCCACGTGACCAGGGGGAGAACATGCAAACTCAGAATATACATGCGTCAGGGTCAGGATCAAAGCCCCGATCTCTTCCACACCAGGGGGGGTGATAACATCACACCACCGTGGCTAGATGTTACTTCTGGGATTCCCGTGCCAACCTCGCATTGCGATACTGTGGAGCTGTCATGTGCCCCAGGTGCACTAGAGGCCACTCCTCTTTTCTCAATCAGCGCCGCCCACTTTTATATAGCCACGCTTCCACTCGATCAGCAGGTTGGCTGCAGCGCAGTGGTGACGCTTGTGCCCCTCGGTGAAAATCCCTGAGTTTGATTCTCAACACGGACGCCTTTCTGCGTGGAGTTTGTATCTCCTAATAGATAACTCCACCACCCGGAAACAGAGCCAATGAAAGCAAGTGGTCAGATGTGCTAGCTGATTCGGTTTATCAGTAAACCAATGACCTAAACCCACACGGAGCTATGACTCATATTAGTCGTGAATGTGCAAATATAATATTAATATTGTCATTATCATAATCCACGCAGTATTGCAGGGTCTGACACTGACACTGCGTCGTTGTTGTAACTGTTGTTGTTGCTTCTGCCTTTCACAGGGAGAGTCTCCATGATGTGATTAAGAAAGCGGGGCTCCGGCAATTGCACATGGGGATGGTGAAAACTTACACCAGGGGCATCCTCAAGTTCCTTTGCCACACCAAGGCCAGGAGCATCATCCATGCGGACATCAAGCCAGTGAGTGGACACAGCATTCAGCGCGACTTTGTTCCGGAGTTGTGTCATTATTGGGGACTCGGACCATAGAGAAAACCGCCCACGTTGGTCACAGGGTCGATGTGTTAGGTCTCTCCGTCTATCTGGAAGGAGACAGTGTCACGTTACCTCTGGTGATGATCCGGTATGAATTAAACTGTCGTGTGGAGTCGTGTCGCTATTGGGGGACTCACCACAGAGAAAACCAGCAATGTAGATCACAGCGTTGCCACAAACTTTGGGAAACACAAACTGGAGCTGAAAAGAATGATTTTCAAAACGTGCCAAACACGCGTTTGAACTGACAGGTGCCCATTGTCGGCTTCCATGCTGTGAATGGAAAACTTCCCAAATCGTCACTAAATCCGTGCGCCCTCGAGTGTGGTTTTTGGTTCGTAACTCGTTAACGGGCAGCTGTGAGCAACTAGGATAAGTTGTCTATAGAGCCGCACCCTTTTACTTAGATGGTGCTTCAGAGAGCTTTAAATGTGATGAGCCTCGACAAACATCGCTCGTCTTGACGAATTTGAAAGGGGCACCCCCAGTGGCAGCTGTCAGAAAACAGGGAATGTAGCACTTGACTAAAGGTTGACGACGGCGCTACGCCTCACCTAGTTCCCCTGTTTAGTATGTACTGTGGTACGTGATTGATCCACTGCTGGCTGAATGCTATTGGCGTAACCTTCGAGTGTGAATTCCTTCTGCCTCTCTTGCTTTAGGAAAATGTTCTAATCAAGGACACCGTGACCGGCACCATCAGGGTCACGGACTTTGGCACCAGCTTTTTGGTGAAAAGTCAACGTGAGTAATCTCACCTGGGTGTGAGTTTCTGCGTGTGGGTGTGTCTGTGTACCAGTGTGTGTGCAAGTCTCTTAGTGTCTGTACATGTGAAGTACCGGTGAGGACGCTTGACACCGAGGTTGAGGCACACGTATATTTATTTTACAAGTCGTCACGACAGGACAGCACTAGAGGGGGTATCGGCCCCCTCACCCGTATAACTGGGGATACACCGCTAGCTATCCCTGACCTACCCCCGAGTCCTCCACTAACGGGCTAGGGGAGGCTGTCTGGCCCGACACTGGTGAGTCGGGCTACGGTACCCGGAATCCCAGAGTGCTGACTCTGGTTCACGGGACCACGCCGCTGGCTCGGTCCTGCGCGGTCCTGACAAGGGCGGCGTCTCAGGGGAGTCCAGGGCTCTAGCTACCCGGGTCTTCAATCTTCCCTCCTCTATTCTAATACTGAGCCCCGAGCTCTCTCTGTCATCCCCTTTTATACCCCCTCCAGGATCACAACCCCGGGCAGCCCTACCCCCAGGCTGCCCGATGCGGACGTCGTTGCGGGCACCCCCCCCGTTTACTCCCGGAGCTCCGCCCACTGTGTTTGTTCGCCGTTTGATCTTATGTACAAACAGCCCCTCCATAACAGCCCTACATCACCCCCCCCTGCATAGCTCGCAGCCGTCCCGGCTGCAACAATTTCAATAAAGGTACCTTTACCCCTTGACCCTCGTGTGTGCCTCATTTTTTTTTCAACAGAACGCGAATTGAACAACAACAATAACCATACCCCTGAAGGGAGTATAAACTGACGCGCCCCCCCCCCAAATAAATACGAAATCCGTAAAAGCAAAGTATATACATTCGCCAGGAACCCCCAGCGCACACACAACACACACACAACACACACACAACACACACAACACACACACAACACACACACAACACACACACACACACAACAACAACGTGCCAGGAGCACCCCACCAACGCAGCGCACAGTAACCATAACACGTGAAAATATTTTTTTTTTTCTTCTTCTTTCTGTACATTACAAGAGTCTGCGCATCCTTGCGCGCGTCCTTGCCGCAGGCCCGTCACATGGGCCAACCCCAGATGGCGGGCCATCCGGTGGCAGCTGTCCCTTTCGAGGTGAGTCCGCGATTGAAGTGGCGAGACCCTCGGCATCCCCCGTGTGGGTTGTTGGGCGCGAGCCCGTCATTCCTGATGTACCTGGGGGCGGAACAACCGGCAAGACGTCAGGCGAGAGCAACAGAGACGGACCCTCCGAGTCGGTCGACCCCCCACATGTTTGGCCCTGCGTGTGTGGAGTGGGGCCTCGCACCGCAACGAAGGGTTTCAGCCTAGAGGGGTGAACGAACCACCGGCGCTTCCCCCACTTGATACGAACGCACTGAGGTCGCAAAACCTCGACCACCTCGACGGGGCCCCACCACGGCCGCACCAGCTTCGAGGAGGTCGCGAGTGGTACCTGGGGACAGTGCAGCCATGCCCTGTCCCCTGGCTTCCACTGCAACACGTGCGCGCGTGCCAGTCTGAGGCGCTCATTCGCCTTTTGACGCCTGTCGGAATTTAGCATGGCAGCATCCCGTGCCTCCGTCAGTTTTTCAAGGTTAAATTTAACGTGTTCGTCCAATTTTGTCTTACCCAGCGGCGCGGGGATCTGCAGCTGTGCCCGAACAGGTGGGTCATGTTCGCGGCCATACATGAGAAAGAAGGGTGAAAATCCCGTCGCAGCATGGGGGGCCAATCTATATGCTGCCAGGACCCCAATT